CCCTTCTCCTCTCTCTCTACTGTAGGTCTCTCCCCTCAAGAAAACCATTGTCTTGTGCTGGGGAGATTGTTTTGTGGATCAAAGCACTCATCCCAAAGTCTGATGACCCAAATTTAATCCCTAGAACCTGAGTGATGGGAGACACCAACTCTCCCACGCTGTCCTCTGGCCTCCACAGACATCCACAGAATGAATAGATGCAATATTGGTTTAAAAAAGAGAAGCCATTGTTTCATGGGGAAATTCTGTATTTTCCATGAAAAATATCATAATCATCCTCAAGCCACAAGGAACCTGCACAATGTCTGGTCTGCTAAGCAATGACATTTGATTTACAAATGGTGATTGGGTCATACATTTGATAATGCTGCAACATAACCGACAGAAAACATTATATAGAGTATAGGCTTTTCTCATGTCTTTTTTGAAAAGATTTATTTATTTATTATGTGTACAGTGTTCGGCACCAAATCTCATTACAGATGGTTGTGAGCCACCATGTGGTTGCTGGGAATTGAACTCAAGACCTTTGGAAGAGCAGGCAGTGCTCTTAACTGCTGAGCCATCTCTCCAGCCCTTCTCATGTCTTTTAACATAGATTTAGAAATAAATTCTTAGAGTACTAAAATCATTCAAATGTAGCAACATAAATTTTAAAACTATATATGGATTTTAATGTCCATATCTCAATTTTATCACTGTGAATAGCAGTTTGAGTTAGGAAACTGAGGACAAGAGCCCTGCTTCCAAGACAACCCTCAAAGCTTGTGAGGTAGGTGTCATAGCATGTGTGCGTGAGGGACCTGAGAAATGGGATGATATGTAACTTGTCAAGGCTGCATGCCTAGAAATATTCAGAACTAGATTTGAAAGGCAGCAGCTCTGGTTGGGTACTGTGTGAAAGCTGCAAAGGGGGATAGCCAGGCCCTTTAGAGGAGTAAATCAAGGATTCCTTTTCACCCAGCTGAGAAGTAGAGCAGAGCAATTGAGAAACACAAGCCGGGTGGTGGTGGCATGTTCCTTTAATCCTAGCACTTAGAAGGCAAAGGCAGGCAGATCTCTGTGAGTTCAAGACTAGCCTGGTCTACAATAGCTAGTTCCAGGACAGCCTCCAAAGCCACAGAGAAACCCTGTCTCAAAACCCCGCCCCCAAAAGAAAGAGAAACACATCCATTAAGATGTTTTCCACAGTGGGCATGGGGATGGGATGTCTTGGCAGACTCTCTAAATTTGTAAAACAGGATCCTAATATTGATTGAAACAAAATCTTAGACTTAAACTGTAGGTCTCCCCGTGTCACTATTTCTCTCTTCATATTTGAGATATAAACTATAAACGGCCCCTCTCAGGACACTGGAATTAATTCTACTAAGAATGAACCAAGTTTCAGCCCAAATCAGTACACATTCTGCTCCTCTTCCTTGCTTTAGTCACAAAGGTAACTAGAATTCCCCAGGTGCTCCTCTGTGTGGTAAATTCCTCATCCTGTGACATCCAGGAAGGATTTTCAAATTAAGTGTGTGAGAGTTTACTCACAAAAATTCTTTTCCTCATGCAAGCATTAAAAGCCATGGTAGATATACAAAACTACTAGTCATATTTTACCATAAATCTGTCATACTTTAGGAATTAATTGTGTCACACTCAGAGGCAAGTCTGGTAGAATCAACAAAGGATGCTACAAACTAAAAAAAAAAAAAAAAAAAAAAAAAAAAAAAAAAAAAAAACCCCTGCCTGAGCCAAGGCAGACACACAGACTTACTTTTAACCAGCCACACATTTAATTCCTAGTGTGTGGGAGAGTTTCAGGTAAATAAGAGAGTGAAACAGTAGTTAGAGGTTAGTGTGAGGAACCGAGAAGGCGTATCCTTAGAAGATAAATGTTAGATGAATTTCTCCCAGGTGCTTTCAGCCTTGAATGTGTTAATAGAAGGATCAACTGGTAATGGCAGGTACTGTGGAAGGAACTGTTGAAAGAAAAGGTATAGGCTCAGGCCCCAAGACCAAGTTCTCAGCACAAAGGAGATTTATTTACCCCAGAGGGACAGAGGGATAGAGGGGCAGGGATAAGGGTCAAAGGTAGGAGATAGAGGGAGAGGGAGAAGGGGAAACAAGGAAGGGAGAGGGTTAAGGGGTATTTGTTCCAGAGGACAAAGGACTGCCTCTCTATAGAGACAGACAAGGCACATAGGAAAATGGTGTATTATACAGGTATTATACAGGTAACATTGGAACCCTGTGTTAGGATGGTCATGTTAATTAGGTGAGCCAAAAGAGGCTTCTGATGGCTGGGCCTCAATAATTTGGTAGCTGGACCTAGGTGGTCAGTCTCAGGAGGAGGAAGTGGCCAAAAAAGGGAATAGACCTTGGGGACTTGCTTTAGGATTGTAATCTAATGGTTTTAGCAAGGCAAAGGGAATGGGGAGAATGACAAGGCCTGCTTGCCACACTCAAACTGGCCAGAGTCCCTTCCTCTGCCACTGAGGCTCAGTGAGTCAGGGGTCTAGAAGCAAAGTAAACTTACAAATTTCACATCTGGATAAAGCCACAACAAGACCATGAAGATGACAAATAAAAAAAAAAAAAAAAAAAAAAAAAAAAAAAAAAAAAAAAACAGCTTCTTTACCTCATTCAAGCTACTACGGCACATATGAATCAAACTATCTACTTTGTTGTAAATGGGACATGGTTTTCACTGCCCTGGGAGTACTTTTCTTTTCACAAATAGGCCTCTGTGCAATGTTTTACTCACTTGTGCATGCGCTTCTAAAGACACCACTGTATACTTTTGTGGACAAATGAACATATGGAATATTCATTTGTTCACAAAACATATTTCATCAACCAAGGGTGTTTTCTGTGTTTTCATTTATTACTCCAAGGCACTTCATCTGTCAGAAATCATTCTAATGAAAGACTGTTCAAAATACACTGGAATTTAGAGTTCATGGCAGTCTGGTTTGTTTCTTCACATTTCCTGTAATTCATGAGTTAATAAAATGTATTGTTTGAGAGATTAAAGAAGCTACTGTGTGTGTTTAATAACTTCTTCAACTTAGAGGTACTTCCTAATTTTCTATACTATTAAAAATCTTGTCAACAAACCATACTTTTTAAACTACTCCGGGCTGTCTCACATCTTTGAGCCTCTTCCTCTCTAACTTTTACCCAGGCACATCCGGACATGACAATAGAAAATGTATCAGTTGATATTTTATATATAATGAGAGAGGTTAAGTGATAAAGAAAAACCAAAGCTTTTATATAACTAATAATATATTAGTTCACATTTGTATATGAAAGTGCATACCAATATAATAGTTTAATTGTAGCAGATATGTATTTGTGTATGAGTTAGATTGGCATCCTTTTGGCTGTTCCTAAACAAATGGTCTATTTATACAAATTTCCATCTTATTACTAGAGAGAGAATGAGGCTTCTTTGGTCTAGATCATGCACTCTGTCTTAGGAACTATGATGAAATGATAGATACTGTCCTTACCCTCATGAAGACTACAGTGATAGTGGAATAGACAGACACCAAACACTTTCACATACAAAATGTTGCAAAGGAAAAATGGAAAATTCTATGAGAAAATAAAAAGGATCCATAATCTGTTAGGGAGATGGGTGAGAGGTTGTTTTGAGGAAGTGAGAGAAAATATGGAGGTCTGTCTGGTGAATTCTGAGGGAGATGTTATGGACTGGGAACTTTCCTGTAGACAAGGAGAAAAGAGACAGGTTAGTCAACGCCTACCATGAACTAGGTTGTGGACTTTAGGACAGTATTCAACTGTCCTAACTTGGGCTAGGAGGGTGTTGGCTCAGTTAGTCAGTCTGTATCACACATTTGGGATACAGAGAATATGGTGGCTACCTTAGGAGAGTTGTTTGTAGATTAGGATGGAGAAACCCACAAACAAACAATAACAAAGCAACATTTGTTGTAACTCAGTCATCTAGTATCTAAAAGATGCTGAGCTGAGAATGACAAGGAAAAGTGTCATGAAGGGGTATTGCTGGACCCAAATTATGAAGGATGAGTAAGCCTGCTCTAGTGAGGGAAAAAACAAGGTGTAAAGCTATTGCAGGAAGAGCCCTAGCAAATGAAACAGAATAAGCCTGACTAGAGAACCAAACTCCCAACTTGCAGAGTGTGAGGGAGATGCAGAACTTGAGAAGAAAATAGCATGACAGGAGATGCATTGCCACGTTACTTGCTGGGCTTTAGCACCTTTTATTCTACGTCTAGGAAATAAGGAGTGCGCTGATTATCTCTGTGTCACTGGAACGGGCATCTACAGTGAATTTTAAAAGGGTAAAAGGGGGGAAATCTGTTTTGGCTTAGTTTTGGAGGTTTGAGGTTTTGGTTTGTGACTAATTGGTTTTGGTGCTTTGTCTCTGGCAGTACTCTATATCTGGCAGGAGAGCATGGTGGAGGAGACAGACCTTTCACCCATGGGGGTGGGGGGAGAAGAGGAAGGTGATGAGGGTTGGGGTCCTCACATCCCCTTGAAAGGCATGTGCATTATGATGTAAATGCCCCCTTCTGGGTCCCACTTCCTAGAGGTTCCACTGCCTCCCAACATGGAAAACTCAGGGACTCAGCCTTTAATGCATGGGCCTCTGGAACCCACTTGAGAGCTGAACTAGAGCAGAGATGGAGAAGTCTTATCATATTTGTGATTTCTAAGATCCCCAGAAGCTACTGATGTCCTGAAGAAATAGCCAAAAGGGGCATAAGCTTAGAGAAGGGTTGAAATAGTGCAAGGAATTGGGGAAATGGGGTCTTTGTGCAGGCCAGGGAGCTGGGAGTTAGCTGTGTGGATAATGTAGATTCAGGATAATGAGAGTCACCATCACAAGAAATCAGAAACAACCTGAGTGAAAATCATACATATTTTATTTTTTCTTCAAAAAGGTAATATAAACAAATGAGACACTTTAAAAAGTATAATCTTAAAATAATGTATATGAGGCATACATTAATTTCCTCATAATGAAGCAGTTAAATTCTCAAAAAGACCCACTACAGACATCTAAATACCAAAGCACTGCACTGTGTGTTTGGAGGAGGCAAAGTGATGTATTCACACTCAAGCATGTTTAGTATGCTTTCAAAACTCTAAGAATATAGATATTTGCTAAAGTTTCTCTTACTAGAAATCTCTTAAATGAATTTTTATGAAAACCAGGCAAGAAATTTACCTGATTCTTATCTTCTTCATCTACCTAGAACATGGATTTTGTGACCCAAATAATAATACTAATAAACTAGTTAATAAATAGCACACAATCAGTTTGACAATAAGTCATGACATTATGCCATACTAAGAAGACATCAAATGTCTAAAATTGTAAGATGAGAATACATTAATCCTTCTAGAACTTACACATTTAGAAATTCTAAAATGGAAATGTATTCTATACAGGTTTCTGCATGACATACAAGCTTGCTAACACCATAAAAGTTATATACCACTTTTAAGAAAAACTCAACACACCCAGTTGAAACAATAAAATAGCTCCCATTTCATGAGAGAGAGAATGAGGGTGTCCCCATCAACAGCTTCTAACAGAACTTCAGTAACCTGTTAATTCCATAGCCTTCCCAAGAACACTACAAGGTATACACATGTATATACACACACATACATACATACATTTTCTGAGACAAAATGCAACAGTCACCTTCACTTCAAGACATTCTGAAAGGTTAACAACCAAAGATTCTTGACTTACACCCTAAAATGCCACCATTTGCAATAGTGTAACAGATGGTAGAAAAAAAAAATCTGATATGCTTTGCTAAGTACACGCATAAACTGAGGGGAAAGCTCCAGGGACAGCGGTTTCCCTTTGCCCTTCAAAGCAGGGAGTTCACAAAGAAAATTACTGGGGCGGGGGCGGGGGTGGAATTAGCTCTTCCTTCTTGTCTTCATTGGGGCCAGAGTCCTTGGAAATTTTTCTATTGATCACTGGGCGATTTTTCCAGAGCAAGTGCATTCCTCTTAGTTTTCTTATTTGCACTGTTAAGAAAAGAATTATATCAGTAACTAAAATGCCTCGCTCTAGCCTAACACCTCACACCCCCGGCCCTCCCACAGACACCGGTAATGAGTTCTGGGTTATTGCTCAAATATGTGGAATTTGTAATAAAGATTTCCCAAGAACACCCCAGAACAACTTTCCCTTCTGAATCCTTTATTCTAAGCCCAGTTTAGAACGTGATACTGGAATCTCAAATCTTACTGGGAGAACCAAGAAGACCTTGTCAGTCCGCAGAGACTAAGAACCCCAGAGAGCAAGGTATCAAGTACCTGTCCAGTATTTTCTGAATGACTTTCTTCATCACAGGAGCTTCTGGGTCCAGACAAACCTCCTTCTGATTCTTCAGCTTAGCTCTGTAGAGGAGAGAGGTGAGAGGAGAGAGGTGAGAAGAGAGAGAGAGAGAGAGAGAGAGAGAGAGAGAGAGAGAGAGAGAGAGAGAGAGAGAAATGCACAGGTAAGCCACAGTGACTGAAGACCAAGGGATCTAGGACTTCCCTCTCCCGAGGTCACCTGCACCCGCCAGAGCAATATCAGTCAGAACTCACATGACTTCCACCCTGGGGCACTGTGGACCTGCAGTGATCACCTCCAAATTAGCGATCATTTTGGGATTAATTCTCGGAGTTACGCTTAAGCAAACGCAACGCAGCTCTGTTGCCGCTGCTGCTGCGGCAGGACCCCCTGCGAAAGAGACATGGTTAAACGAGCGTGCTGGCAGAGCTCTCTCCCAGCCCCTGGGATCTGGTGACTGCGGTGGCCGGCTGGGGTGTGTCAGGCACAGTGTGCTCTGCACGTACTGCGCTCTCACCTTCAGCTAGATGCTGCGGCAGTGTGAGCAGCAACAGAAACGCCAGCCGCGCGAACAGCGAGCGGGAACCGCCAAGGATGCGGGCTGAGCGGCAGGGCACGAGGCTCATTGTGGACAAGATCCTGGACCAGGGAGCACTGATTCGAGAGGTGCTGGAGGTGGCTCTAGAGCACTGTGTTGTTCTCAAACCAGCTGTACCCCCTTTTTATCTGCGCTTGTCTCTTCCTGAAGGCAGGAGATGCTGCGGAAATTCCCTGGACTTAGGAGTTGGGGGAGGGGAGGTGCAGAGGGGCTGAGCAAGGGCTTAGGGAGGAGGATGGCTAGAGGAGTGGCGCCTTGCCAAATCTGAGGAGACTGTTGTAGTCCCGCCCCAGTAGAAGGCTACTGCTCTTGCCAGACACCCTTTGGGGACCTCTCCTCCTCCTGTGTCAGGACTAGCTAAGGCCAGGTTGCACAGGGATTGCACACTCCTACGGATGCCCTTCCTTTCCATGTGGGAAGACTGGAGCCGAAGGAATGAGGTTTGGCTTTAGAAAAACCCTCTGTAGGTCTTTAACCTTTATTACTAGGGACACTACTGTTGGGTCTGGGGAGGTGAGCCAGCAGTTAATAACACTGGCTGCACTTGCAGAGGACCCAGACCACATGGTGGCTCCCAAGCGCCTCTAGCTCCAGTTCCGGGGGATACCATATCCTCTTCTGGCCTCTCTGGGGTGCCTGCACACATTTGGTGCACATACAGACAAGCAGACATACACACATACTCATAAATAAAAATAAATTTAAACTGTATGTTAAAAAATGAAGACTAGAACTGAACTAAAAAGAAAAGTCAAAAACTTTTCCCTCTCCTTGTACACGGCTCATTGTAAGGTCCCTCCAGTTACTTAATGATTCTTTGGGATTCTGCCAGATTTCAAAGCCAAGGAAATATGATGATAGTGTCTTTATTTCCATTTGAAACCAGTGGTAGGAATGGCTTTCAAAATGAAAGTTGCTTACTGAAAGCCCTATGCTTGTAATTTAGCAAGTGTGAGTGTTTCTAGTTGGCTTAATAAACAAGGTGCTCAAAAATCACCCAGGAAATTGCTTTGGAAGGATGACACTTTGTGCCTGGCAGTTCCCTTTGCTATTCAATTAGGAGAGGTTTTGTTCTTCGAATGAGTAAGGTGATTGTAGCCTGAAGCAATACCAGAGATTCCTTATTGTGCCTTCTGCTGTGGCTGATCTGCCAGGTGGGGATTTGACACAGTTCTTAGAAGCTAAAGGAAGCTGATGCAATTGAGAGACCTATCTGTGAGTTTGGTGCATGGGTTTGAATCAGTTTGCCAGGAAGATAGCATCCACTCCAACTCCCTCCAACAAAGGACTTCCTAGAGGCATCTGAGAATTTTCCACTGATCGGTGGAAATTAAGGATGCTCTCGAGCCTGGAGAGGCCTCCTGAAGATGAAGGATGAGATGACTTCTGGTAACTAAAGGTATCAAACTATAGCAGGCATAGCTATAACACTAGGTTGTCCGAAAGCTTTCTGTTGTAGAGGTTTAACCAGATCTCCTCTGGATAGTTCTCAGAACCTTTGGCCTCATTATAGGCTTGCAGAGGAAGTCTGTACACATGATAGCTATAAGAATATAGTCTTGGAAGGGAATTATTTTATTTGTCCCCTGCAACTATGTGAACCTCCATCAACTCCTCCACTCATCTTTTTGTGGAGTAATATCTCCATTGCTGGGCAGGAAGGTGTCTTAGACTTTTGAACTTACGTTCTGGGAGGAAACTTGGTTTGGTTGAAGGAAGTTGGGAGGTTTGGCGATGGCATTATGAGAAGCTAGTGGGAAATCCTGAGACCAGCAGCTTCCTGATACCATCAGCATCATGCCTGACTCAACGAAAGTAATCCTTCATCCTTCTGAGGATGGCAATCTGTAGCAAGCAGCCTGTAGATTTATTAAATTGGCCATTTGGAGATTAGAATATATCTACAGACAAAAGATAAACTTCATTTCAAACCTGTTTTTAAAAAACTGACTATAAAGACATTGAGCAGTAAAACTTAACCACAGAAAATAAACCACATTCTATTAAGGCTTAATGAAAAAAGTACTTTAATAACACTAGCTAATGAATATGTGTGTATATACATGTTAGTGTGTATACCCAGGTTAGTTCAAATAAGCTATTTTAAATATAAATGAGCATACAGATTAGTTTGGGCACAAATGGATCAGATTGTGTGAAAGGCCCAAAACTGAGAGTGTCAAGTCCCCTTAGCATTATTATAGATGTGCTTTCCCCACCTGGTTTGCACTCTGAATCCATTTGTCATAATTACTTACAGAACAGAGAGAGGGAAGAAAAAAGATATCCATATCTGGCACTCGGATAATAGAAAGTCCACTCTATAAGTAGACTGTTGTGTTGCCCAACCTAATCAGGAAACAGTATGTAACCTGACCTGGCCTTGCGTTGAAATTAGTCTGGCCCACTGCCATGCCTGGCTCCCGGGGAGCCATCTCTGACACTGGCTTATGCCAAGACCAGTAAGAATGTGCCAAGACTCTGAGTTTGAGAATGACAGCATTTACACTCAGCGGGTACAAGACACTTGAAAATAATTACTTTTATGCTGTCAATTTAAAGTGAAGCCAATTGTCTTAAGTGCACTGAGTCCAAGGAGTAGAAGAATGCTATGTTAGTTTTTCACAACAGTAATAAAACAATCAATAAATCTACAGTCACCCTTAGAGCCACAAATGTTTTCTGTTATAATCTAATTTTAGTTATGATGGCACAGTTATTTAATGGGAATGAAGACATTTGGAATGTCCTGTGGCAATCAGACCACTTTCATGTTCATTATTTCCTGAGCCTCGGACTGATTTGTTGAGACAACTGAGAGAAACTTTCTTCACTCTTAATTAGTCACAGACACCAAGGCCATAAAGAATGAAATAAAGAATTGGAAGCTGCACCACTTAGCAAATCCGTTACCAGAATGTTTTAATGGTTCCCAGACTCCAAGCTACTTTTTCATAGTTGTTAGCACACATTCCCCAGGGACTCTTCACAATCTGGCTAACTACTTTACTGTGTTGCCCAAGGGTATCTTTAAAACTATTGAATACCTCAGCCTACCTATGCTTTTCTTGGAAGACCTCAATAATATCAAAAATCCCAAAGACTTCCAAGTAACCTGAAATATTTCCCCATTTAAGGCCAATCCAAAGTGCTATGTGCTATAAAAAGGCTCATCTGACAAAGTCATTTGAATATCTCCCTTTCATCTTTGGTCTTCGACCATCTAATATTTTAACCACAACTGCTATATAAAATGGAGTTTATAATCCTTCATTCATGCTGCTTTTGCCTTTCCTAAGTCCACTGCATAGTCTACAGTCAAGGTCGACGCTTTAAATTCCTCTATATAACCTGTCATAAGTTTCAACTTCACTACTAAATGGCCTATGAGAATCTCATGGTATGGAATGAAGGTCACTTTATACTTTTTAGTGTTCCACACGCTTACAGTTGATCCTAAAACTACAGAGAAAAGCATGGGATGGTCACATGTTTGTAACCCCTCTACTTTTAGAACTCTACCACTTTTTTTCTCACATTAGAAATTATTTCTTGCTTATTCCTAAAGAAAACTCAAATGATAAATTTCATTCTTTAGATTCTGCACTATTCCACCCAGACTACTGAGAACCCAGAAAAAATCTTGATATTAAAGAAAGGAAAATTATACAACTAAAATATTGTCCATGTTACCTATTTTATGTGGCCTTAACATTGCTGGAGAAAATCAACAAAGATGAAAATCTAATTAAGTTACACTGTGCTGACTGTCAACAGTGTGACAGGATTACTCTAAAACATGCTTTCCAAGCAGTATGGGCCTTAAATTATGTGACTGAAGATATGGTATCAGCCCTTTTAAGTACTTTATTAAATTTTATTTTCTATCTGCCAGCCTTAATATGGTGTTTAAGAAACACTATGTTAGTGTAGTAATTAAGTATGTTGATATATCAATATAAGAAGAAAGTAAGCGGCTATAGAAGGGTCACTTCCTCATATGCAAAAGGGAAAAGCCAGTGACTCCTGGGTTAACTTTGCAATGTCAGTAAATCTGTCTTCCTCCCTCCATATTGGATTTGACAACCCAGTGAAGAGGCAGTCTCATTCAGAGAATAAATTTGTCTCAAAATTTCTTCGACATTAAGGTACATGTCAAGAATATTTTCTTTTCCCTTTCTTCCTTTCTTTCTTTTGTCCATTATCCATTATTTTCTGGCTGTCCATTTCTGATTAACTCTACTTGAGGAAGGAGGAAATCAAATGAACCGAGACTGAATCCATTATGAATGAGGTTTGCAGTAACCTTGCCAATTTTTGAAAAAATGGAGTCTCTAACATGCTGCCTCTTTTGTGGAGCTGTCCAAGCCTAAATGCTTTTGGTGAACAATAATAAGCAATGCATATGGGGGGAAGATGATAATTAAACTTTTAAATATTTCTGAAAGACTTGGGCTTCTCAGAAGAGGAAGAATTTATAGCTTTCTTCAGAAATTTTGTCTGTTCCAAGCAAAAAGTAAATATATAAATAATAGAAAAATTTGTAGTGGGAGCTGATCTAACTAATTTTCAGGGCTGATAAGATGGCTCTGGGGCAAAGAACACTTGCTGCCATTGCAGAGGACCCAAGTTCAATTCCCAGAACCCATGTCAGGCTTCTCACAACTTCCTATGACTCCACTTCCAGGAAATCCAATGCAGCCTCCTGGCCTCCGAGGGCACTTGTGTCCCCTGCGTTCACATACATACACAGAAAATAATTTTTAAAATGAAACAAAAATCTTAACTGGTTTTGAGAAAGAACTTTGTAAGGCAGTGCAAGTCCTTTATAAGGAAGTTAGACACTGTGCTCAATAATGGCCATTGAGTGGGTGATTTCCTACCACCAATACCAAGACTTCTCAGCTCTTGGGCTAAGTCAAGTGCAGTATCTGACAGCCACTACCTACACTTGAGACCTTTTTTTTTTTTTTTTTTTTTTTTTTTTTTTTTTTCCTTTTGGAAAGACATTGACCTCTGCAGAGCCTTACAGTGTAAATCAACATATGCCTCACACTTAACGGATAGTAAAACTTCCTTACTTTTCTAACAGAATGGATTGAGGTGTAGCAATGTATTTATTATATTATGCATGTTATGTATATTTATTCAGGTATGTATTTATGCATGATTTATGTATTTCCTATACAACCAAAAGTCTGTTTTCCTTATTACTGAAAAAAAAACCAAAGACTTTGTACTTCACAAGCATCCAAGATAGTGTTTTATGGACAAGTCAGAACCACTAACTTTTTGTTAATCTGGTTATAAATTCCTACTTTCATGCACATTCCAATATT